CTCCGCGCGGTTGCATCTACCGAATGAGCGAGGAAGAGTTAAGTGTGCTTCGGGCACAACTCGACGACCTTCTAGAGAAAGGCTGGATTCGGCCTAGCTCATCGCCATCAGGAACGCCGACCCTCTCCCACGCATCGACGACCTTCTCGAGCGATTGGGCGACGCCCAGTTCTTCTCTAAGCTGGATCTCAAGTCAGGGTACCACCAACTCGAGATTCGCAAGGAGGATCGCTACAAGACCGCGTTCAAGACACGGTATGGGCATTTCAAATGGCTGGTCGTACCGTTTGGCCTTACGAATGCCCCAGCCACTTTCCAAGCGGCTAGGACAACGGAGTTCCGACACATGCTGGATCGGTTTGTACTCATCTACCTCGACGACATCTTGGTGTATAGTCGGAGTTTGGACGAACATGTGGAACACCTGCGCACCGTTTTGGAGCGGCTACGACAAGCCAACTACAAAGCAAACCGCGACAAGTGCGAGTTCGCACAGCAGGAGCTGGAGTACTTGGGACACAATGTGACGCCGCAAGGCATCCATCCGCTTGCGGACAAGATCGAGGCCCTACGAGTATGGCCCGAGCCCACCAACACCATGGACGTTCGTTCATTCATGGGGTTGGCGGGCTACTATCAGCGATTCATCACCGGATACTCCAGGATTGCTGCACCTATGACGAGGTTACAGTCGCCAAAGGTGCCATTCGTATTCGATGATGACGCACGCCGGTCATTCCAAGCACTTAAGACGACTATGCTCATGGCACCCGTCCTTAGCATCTACGACCCCACCCTGCCGACGCGAGTGACTACGGACGCTTCCGGCTATGGCATTGGGGTAGTCTTGGAACAACACGATGGCGAAGACTGGCACCCTGTGGAGTATTTCAACCACAAAGTGCCTCCCATCAACTCGCTTGATGATGCAAGGAAGAAGGAGCTGCTCGCATTCGTGATGGCTCTCGAGCGCTGGCGGCACTTCCTCCTTGGGCGTCGTAGGTTCACATAGGTCACAGACAACAATCCATTGACCTACTATAAGACGCAGAACACGGTGAGCAGCACGATCGGACGATGGGTGTACTTCATCGACCAATTTGACTTCACACCGAAACATGTCTTCGGCCTCTTTAATCGTGCAGCAGATGCACTCTCGCGAAGACCTGATCTTTGCGCTATGACACATCATGCCTTCGCATTCGACGAGGAGCTTCAGCGACACTTCATCCGGGCATATCAGTCTGATCCGGACTTCGGCACGCTCTATGCACAACTATCTTCGGATCACCCGCCGGCCAGCCATTACCACATTGTCGATGGGTACTTGCTCCTCCGCTCGAGAGGCAAGGACTTAATATGTGTCCCACGCGACCGTCGTCTTCGGACTCGCCTCCTCGGTTAGTATCATGATTCACGACTCGCCGGCCATTTCGGAGTCAACCGCACTATTGCACGGCTTCGACAGCGATTCCGATGGCCCGACCTCATTACCGATGTCACTCGGTATTGCGACTCTTGCGAAGTTTGCCGACGCAGCAAGCCCCGCAACCGCAATCCCTATGACGAGTTACACCCGATGCCTATCCCACGGGAACCCGGTCTCTCCATTGCCATGGACGTCACCGGTCCGTTTCCTTGCGACCAGCTCGGGCACGACGGCATCCTCACGGTTGTGGACCGATTGAGTAAGTACGCGCGTTTTCTCCCTTGCAAGTACTACTCCACGGCTCCCGAGCTGGCACGCCTCCTGCACACTGGTTGGATTTGTGGCCACGGTGTACCAGAAGACATTGTCAACGACCGCGACACTCGTTTCATGTCGGCGTTTTGGACTTCTCTCATGCAGGAGTCCGGCACAACAATGAAACCAAGTTCGGCTCGACATCCTCAGACAGACGGGCAGACGGAGCGGGCACATCAAACCGCTCAAATGATGCTTCGTACGCTCATTCGTCCGAACCAGAAAGATTGGGTTGACCGTCTCCCCGACATCGAGTTCGCCTACAACACTTCGGTGCATCCGGCGATCGGCGTGACTCCATTCGAGTTGCATCACGGTGGACGGAAAGGCTGGATCTTCGCAGACCTTCTCCTCCCTCGACCAGCCGACATTGACGCTGCCTGCTCTCCCGCTTCCGTCCGGAAGTACAGGGAATTGTTGACTCAAGCCCGTGCAAATATGCAAAAGGCTCAAGTCCGCATGTAGCAGCAAGCCAACAGGCGTCGCGTACCATGTCCCATCCGCGCCGGTGATCTTGTTTGGGTCTCCGCGGAAGAGTTTGCAATGGAACAGGATGTTTCACGCAAACTGCTTCCCAAGTGGTTTGGACCTTGGTCTGTGACAGCAGCCGCGGGCGATGAGCCCGATGGCCCTTCATTTGTGATCAACATTCCAGAGCATC